GGAGACTCTGGGACCTCCATGAGGCACGGAGGAGTCTTCTCCTGCAAGTCTCTGTGCATAGGCAGAGATGTGACCTTCTGGGAACAGGTACACCAGGCCATCGGGGTCTACAAAGCCTCTCTCTCAGGAAAGTCTCTGGTGTCTCTGGCTTTGTTTCGAGTGGCAGTAGGTGGAGCCCCGCAGGCACTAACCTGGGCCTTCCCTGCATCATCTCACTGGCCCTCGAGGCAACAGCAGACGGGTTCCTGTGTGTCTTCTCTAGGGACGACACAGCAGCAGCTCCTTCCTTACGCCTAGTTGTTTAATGATCAGTTGTGGCTCCTCCTCCTGCACTGCAGGGCAGGGTGGGGTGGGCGTGACAGAGACCACACTGCCTGCAATCCTAATGTATTTCCTCTCGGGCCCCTTAAGAAAGTAGTAGCCAACCCCTGCTTTAGACTGTGTAGCTGGTAAGTAGTGAATATTTTCAGACTGCCGACACTGGAAATCAGCGAGGTTTGTGGAGGACGGAAGTCCCATTTTAACAGCGTTCAGCTCAGATGTCCTAGTTCATTTCATCACACATCTTAGCATGGATGATGGGAAGAGGTTTCGATGGACCCCGCGTTCTTTTTTTAAGGAGGGGTCCCGATTCTCTCACTACTGTGGGAGCCCAGGGAACCTTCGGTCTCAAGCATAATTTGGGTTAGGAAACCAGTTCCCCTACAACCTGAGAATAACAAGTTAGGACTACTGGGGCCTCTGTTGCTAATGACCCTGCCTTCCCAATAGCTTCTCCTGGGGCCTGGTGGGTGCCTCTGTCCAGAAGCCACTGTGCAAGGCCTCATGCCCATGACGGACACGCTGGTGGAGTCTCCTCGTTCAGCCTCGCTTCCCTGCGTGGTGGTAACTCCAGAGCTTCGGGGGACAAAGTGTGTCGTCCTTCTCACTGCCTTTCCCTTTAATGCTGCCCATCAGCCTTGCCTCTGGGCTCACCAAAAGACACCGAGCAAACCCTGCTTGCCGGACTCAACACACGATGACCTCCAGCCATCTGTCTCAGGTTTGAAAGGCAAAGAGTAAGGGTGATCTGTGGGTTGCTTTCCAAATCCACAAACTGGGGTTAAATGTGCTCTGTAACCCTGCCATGCAGCCAGCGCTGCAGGTGCTGTGCAGACCGGCCTTTGTGCGGTCTGGGGCACACAGAAGCCCATGCCGTCCATGCTGTCTGACCTTCGCGCTGCTGGCTGACTCGACAGTTCATCCAAGTGTTTCAGCCTGGACAAGGGGATTGCCCAACCTTGTCCTATCAGTGGATGTGAGCACGGCTCCGGCCTGCCCTTGCTCCCTAATTAAATACTCATGTGGCTCCTGTCCCATTGCAGGACCAAGGTCAAATCCATTCCAACAAACTCCAGGGCACATCCACGTTCTCTAATGACCCTGAATGACCCTGTACGCCATGTTTCTTCAGCAGAATAAAGAAATGTGGGCTATGCCTGGAGTCTGAAAGACACCTCAAGAAATGGAAGCTTTAATTGGAGTGGGATTTCACCCAACGAAATCAGGTCCATAGTGGGATCTGACCTACTCTAGAGCCAACAGTCCATATCCTCCAGCTTAATCCAAGATGGCTCCTTCTCGGGATCTTCTGTAATACGGCTTTGACAGGCAAATGCTCTATTCTCTATGGAAGGACCTTTAGAAAGTTCAGGCACGAGCTCTCAACCATGGCACGTGCTACAGGAGTATCCTACCCAATGGGCTGGGTTGGCCCCCCTCCTCATCTCTCTCTTCTGAACCCGAGACAGAAGTGCACTGGCCAGGCACGGGCAGTGCCCACTGGCCAGGAACCTAGGTCCGTGAAGCCACGCAATGGAAGACCAGAGTTTGAGCAGTTAGGAAGCAGGCATGCAGAGATAGGGAAGCACCTAGAAGTACCGCCTACAGCATGAGAGTCGCCCACAGACTTTAGGGTTAGATGCCACCTCCTCCAACTCGCCAGCATGTGTCAGAGTTGCTGCTGAGCTCCGTGGGGAGTCTGTGTGATCTGAACAAGATTTTGACTGATGCTTCTTCAAACACTTTCACATCCCATGAGAATAGACACAGACGGACATTAGCTCCTCCTACAAGCCTGTTTCTGGGGGCATCGAAGTGGGGAATTGGGTTTACTAACTAGACAACCGTCAGACCCCAAACTCTCCTGAGATGAGGAATACCGGAATAATTCTTTGGTTTGGCAAAGCCCAGCTTCTTGAGGAAACCAGACATCAAGCTGGTGGTTCCATTTGGAAATCCATACCCACTTTGAGTGGAGCAGAGAAGAGGAAAGAAACGTCAGGAATATTTGATTTCCTGATGCCAATATCATTCCCACTCTTGCAAAGTCAAGCCAATAAGGGTTGGGAGTTTCCAACCATCATTTGTGCTCCTTGCAATGCTAGAGAGACGGTGAGCTGCACCGTGAGAGAGATGCCCCCGAATGCCCATTCTGCAACCAGCGAGGCTTCAGTTTTCCTCCCAGATACCAACTGGTGGAAAAAGGGTGAATATGCCTACCTCGGCCCCCCACCCCCAACCCCCTGGGCTCTGGGACACATAGCAGCCAGTAAGAAAATAAATCAAGATAAGAAGATTTTGATTAGGGAGGGCCAGAGATGGGAGCGGGGAGTGAAGACAGGGCAGGGGCAGGCCCCACCTGGAGGAAAAGGGACAGTGCCTCCGGCCCACCCCAAGCAAACACAAGGGCGAGGGGAGGGCCCTCCCGGCTGCTTCCAAGCTCGAGCGAGAGGACACAGAAGAAATGAGGCCCGAGGAAATGCAGAACCTGTGCTCTCGAAAAGTAGGCAGTTTGTGGCCAGAGTTCATTCTGGCATCTTACGATGAGTGCAGGGTAGAGCTAAGACCCGGACCCCGACCTGGAGAGGCAACCAGGATGCCTGTTGTTTTTTTTTTTGCCTGGCTGGCCCGAGGGTGTCCGTTCCCCTTTTGAGAGAGGAGCCACAACTTAGACCCCAGGATCTGTGGCGCAAGGGCTGAAAGCGAACTAAGCAAAGTGTTTTGCACATACCCTGGAGCTGTCAGGGGAGTGCTGTGGGCTGCTGTTTGGGAGGAGGTGAGAAGTGCTCCGTTTAGAGGACGAGGGCTCACAAGACACCAGGCCCACTGACGCTGCCTCCCCTCCACCCTCGCTGTGCAGGACACCAGTGGGCGAGCTCCTCCAAGGCAGGCAGCCTTCCTTCAGCATTGATAGGAAGACGGGAAAATTAATAGGGGTAATACGAGCTCATTTCAAGAAGAATGAGCTTATGAACATGCCAGGTTTTGATCTTTTCTGATGCATGGATTCCTGGCAGGAACTATGGTCCTACTTAGGTATTTGAAAGAGCTGAAAATAGACTTAAAGAAAAAAAATACCAAACAACAATAAAGGAAGAAAAGTCACAAACTTAAAACAACAATGAAAAAAAAGAAAAGAAGACTTAAACATCGCTCCCCCAGAAAAAAAGAAAAAAAAAAATTGGACTGACATAAAACCCCTTTCTCCTTCTTTTAAATATTGTTTTTAACAGCTTCACACGCAATGAATTATATGTGGATAAAAATAGATCGGGGGGGGGGGTACTGGTTAATGGGGCCTTGTGAATCATTCAGCGCCAGGAACCGTCAATATTGTTTTGAACTGTCAGAAATCCATTTAGTGATTTTTGACAATTCAAAAAAATATTTCTGACTGCTTGATCCAGTTCTCAGTGAATTGGGGAAGGAGAGGGTAAAAGAAATATATCAATTTAAATTGGGCACCCAGTCCAGCTTCCTGAATTCTGCTGTGTGCTCAAAGCAACATCAGAATTTGGAGGTTGAGAAATAACCCCTTCCATTATCCATCTTTTCTTCCTTCCTCCCTTCCTTCTTCCCTCCCTTCCTTCCTTCCTTCCTTCCTTCCTTCCTCCCTCCCTTTTCTTCCTTCTCCCCTTTCCTTTTTTCAACAGGTGCAGTAGAGTCACAGAAATCCATTCATAGAAACGTGGAAAGGTACCACAATCATTTGTCTCTGGCAAGGCTACATGGGACTAGATACAATACACTGAGCTCCCCTTCAGAGAGAGGCTTTCAGCGAGGAATATCTGGGTGCCAAGAGAATGCCTTTGATCCTCCCTGCCCACCCTGACATTCATTTGATCCAATTCTAGGCTCCAAATTTATTATTACGTCTTTAAGACCTGGAATTACTTTGGGGTAACCATATTCTTTCAGGAGGTAAAGAAGTGCCAATTTGCTAACAAGATCAGGCAGGCATAAGTCCAAGATACACAGGATCACAACACTGCTAACCAGGGATTTCACAACGTACATTGCTTGTTAGAACATCAGACAGACAGGTGAAGATACAAAGGGACAGAAGGCAATAATGGAAGGCCCAGGTCACAAGTCACTGCCGTTCGGAATGTCTAAAGAGCAGTCACAAACACCCCAAAACAATCGCCCTGGGTGGAGAGAGGAGCACTTTATTTCTACATTGTGGTTAGTGTGATATGATTTTTAGTAGCCTCTAGGTCAATGTAAAGAAAAGTTTAAGAAAGCAGGTCTGGCTTAGCAAAGCAGTAAGGAAGGAGCCGTCTTCAGCCATCTTATGCAGAAGTTGAAAACACTGAAGGGTTTGCAAGTTACCATGTCTTGTTGTCTGTGTTTCCGTTCTTAAAAATATGTTCCCCCTCAAGTTACAGATTAAAAACAGGAGCAGTTCGCACGGGGAGACCCCACCCCCCCACCTCTCTCCATGCCTTCTGGACGGGCATCTCCGATCACGGGGGTGCAAACCGGGACACAAAAGCGTGAGTTCTAAACCTTCGAAATGAAACGGACTCTCGTGATTGTCTACACTGCATATACAGCATTGTCGGGGCGGTTAGTTCACACATGTGCTCACGGAGGAGTCTACCTCATTTTTTAAAAATGCACAATTCAGCACTGATGTTTTGGGAAATGAACTGAAGGAAGACGATTCTAAAACTTACCACACAAGTCTGGCCTCTTGATACATCCAGAATTTGCTGTGCTACTTGCCAGGCCGTTAAAGGCTGCTAAGCCATCAGAACTGTAGGCCCTGAGGACCGACAGCATGTTCATCGGCTTCTCCAGGCCCGGGGGCCCCCGCTCCGGCTTGGGCAGGCCCGCCGAGGGGTCCTGGGCTGGAAGAAGGCCCGGGCCGTGCCACTGCTTCTCGGGCGCCTGGGGCAACGGTGACACGAGTCCCTGGACGGGCTGAGGGGCGCCTGTGGGCGGCAGGCCATCCCCACCGTCGCCGGCGCTGTCCTTGCCGAGGGCGGACTGTGGCTTGCTCATCATCTCCGGCTCCGTCTCGATATCCTCCTCGTCGTTGTTCTCTCCCTTGGAGGAGTCCATGTCCTCCGAGGAGGCAATGTCGGAGAGGTCATCGGTAGTATTCTTGTTTGCGGTTTCGGGGATCAGGATTGGGGCGTCATCTTCCGAGTGGGCCTTCCCATCGGGCTCCTTGCTGGGGCAGGAACTGGAGGCCCCCGAGCCGACCATGCCCGGGTACACGCCAAACTGCTTGTAGAAGTCTGATGGGAAGTTACAAAACGCGGGGTCCACCAGGCCGGGCCACGTGCCGCTCTTCTGCTCCCCCAGAGTCTCCTTGACCGGCCCTTGGGCCGTCTTCTCGGACGCAGACTCTAGAGGCCCAATCACACTGGAAAGCGCCAGCTCTTTGTTTGATTGTACCGAGGGCAGCAGGGCCACCTTACCGGCCTCCCGGGCTTGGTCTTTGCAATTGAGGGTCACCCCGACGGCGTTATCTTTGCGTTTCGCTTTGCCCAGGTGGTTGGCCTGCAGGTGAAGAGCCATCAGCTCCATAGACGATGTCGTGAAAGCACAAAACAAGCAGCCGTGCCACGCGATGCTGTCTTGCACGGTCACCGACGAGCCTGGGAGCGAGGCGGCGTCCGGCCGCACCGACAAGTCTAGGGGCTCGTACTGAGATTTCTCCGACTTCCTCGCGACCGCCTTACCGCCCGCCTTGTCCTCACCACCGTCCGGCCCGTGCACTTTCATGGACGGGGGGTCAGACAGGGCTTTGTCCTTCGTGTCCTTCTCCTTCTTCAAGGAGCTCAGGACAAAGCTGTCCATGAAAGCTTGCAAGGACCCGTGGAAATTCACGCCGTTGTTCACGATACTTTGATAAGCTCTTCCGATTTCGGAGAAGTGGGTGCTTTTGGAAGGAAGGTCGGCACCTTTCAGGGTGTCCGAAGGAGCCTCGGAAGTCATGCCGGTGGCCTGCCCCGAGTGATCTGCGGACGAGAGCACTCCCGCTGTCCACTGCTGAGAGGCCGGGCCACCTCTGAAGTCGATTCCGGGGAGACCCTTAAAGGCCCCCCTCAGGATGTCTGGCCTGATAAACAAAGCAGCTTTGTTGGGCAGCTCGTCCCTGTGGTCTTGGTTTGGGGGCTGTCCAGACAGTGGCCCGGCTCCGTTCTGCCGCTCCCGGTGGTGTCGTTCTAAGTGGTATTTTAAGGATGCTGACTGGGTGCCGGCATAATCACAGTGGGGGCATTTGTAGGGCTTCTCACCTGCAAGATTTCGGTAGAAGGAGAAAGAAAAAAAAGCGTTTATCTCATTTTGGTGTGCTGAACAAGGCTAGAAGGATCAACATTTGTTCTTGGAAACAAAGCAGCTCAAACTAATAATTAGTTAGAGAGCAACTGTTTTTTAATAGAAGAATAATTCGTACTCTTAAGCTTTTTTAATGATTTTGTACCATTTGGGACTATTCAGGAATGACATACTATCTACACACAATTAGCTATCTTTTTCTTTATCTAACATGTGAAAACGGCTGTAGATTTAAAAGCTATGATTATGAAAATTAAGCATAATAATTTCAACCACAGTGATCATTAAAAGTAGAAGTTTAAAAAGACAAAGTATGTAACAAATGGGTGGTTGCAATATTTTGTGTATACAATAGCTCTAAAATTTGTTTAAATTATACACATGGAAACCATTTTTAAACCTAAAAATTTTATGGCACTGTTACGCAAGACCGAAATGAATGATTTAAGTCTTGCTCTGCAGTAAATCATGGATATAATTAGCAAATGGCATACTGCACAAGTAATTTATCATTATTTGGAGGGCACCATTCCAGACGAGCTCAGATATCTGCAGACCTACTGCATTGTTTCTAAATAAAGAACTATAAATACCGATTCTATAAAATATTAATACCATTACAGTGCATTATGATTGCAGCATGTAAAGACATATAGTTAAGATAAAAAGCAGTCAATAAAACTTAAAAGAAAATGAGTAATAAAAAAGGTACAAAATATATTTAGTTTCTGTATTTGAAATTAACATTATCTACTGGTCTTTGTAGTGCCTTAAATTTGTACTAATGGCAAACCTAATGCTCCGGTAGTAAAATGTGTAATTTACCTATAATAAGCGCTTTCTAGAGAATAAAAATAGCTTTAAAGAGTGTTTTAAAACATATAAGATCATTTTCATGAATTAAATATTTATTTAAATTCAACACCCAACTTCTTTGTTCTTTCCACCACGGAAAAAGATACCGTAACATACAACTTGGACCTGCCCGCATTGTGGGATAGAGGAAGGGAGGAGGATAAACAGATGTGGATTTCAATGTATTCCAAGAATTTGTTAGCAATCCAGGGTCTCTTCTAGACTTTGGAATCAAAAAGCTCTCTGGAAGAAACGGCATCGTGGCAGTCCGTTAACTTCTTCACAATAGCACCCTGTCAATAGCCACGGTCATTTCTCCCAGGAAACTCAGCGGCCCCCACCCATTCCTCTGTTTGTTGGTAAAAAGCAACGGCAACTCATTGGTGAGTGGTGTATCCCCAAGACATTTTACTGTGTCTGTCTCAGCGGATGCTCTGACTCCCAATCTCTAGGCGTAGGGCACTTGGAGGTAACAACACTCGAGAGGCTGGGGGAAGGATTCCTTGACTGAGCAGGGGACTCCACATCATCTCCAGAAATCATGACGGAACCTTGGCGGAACTATTGTCTGCATCTTCCAAATGGTGGCTATGGGCTCCCCACTGACTCGTGCAAGATGCTGAAGGTCACCCCTGGACACGTCAGAGAAGGGAAGGGAGGCCGAATTGGGAACGTATGTCTCTAAATTGAAAAGTCCCAATTGTCTCTGGCTAGACCAACGACGTGGATCTAGCAGGAAGAGTATCCCCTTTGAGCTAAAGGCATAAATGGCCTCGGGCACCATTTTCCCACTTTCTGGAGTCAGATTCACTCCAGCCATGCTATCTGGACACCTCATCAGAGGTCAGGGAACCCTCAGTGGGACAGACGCTAAGGACAGGCACTTCTGGGCTGACCCAGCAGTCCGGTGGCCGGTTGGAGCAGAAGCAGGTTCTGGAGCTGAGGGGATAGCATGCCAGACTTGTGACAGGAGACCCCAACTAGGAACTCAGACTCCTGGCTCCCTAGGTTAGCAGGAATGTAGGGGAGGGCCCTGCAGTGAGAGCTGGCAGAGGTGAGGCCTGCAGGTACTGGGTGAAACTCAGGATGCATTTCAGAAAGGCACCTGGAAATGATTAAGTGCATCTGGCAAGGGGTTCGCAGAGGATGCATGGGCGTTCATTAGCAGGAGCTACAGAGGGAGAATGTGGACTTTTGCCTCCAGGCCTCAGTGGGGGTGAGGGGGGGGGGTGTTACTAGGTGGGGACTGCAGTGATGCATAAGGATGTGTGTGTATATTTCCAAAGGACACACATTTGAAATTCACACTAAAGCAGTGGTTCTCAAACCCATTAGAATCACCAGGGGATTTTTAGACACTAGTTTTGGAACACAACAACGCACAGCACCTCTGATTCTCTAGGTCTGGGGTGGGGGCCAGAAGGCAATATGTTGAACAAAGTGTCCCTGGTGATTCCGATGCAGTGTAAAGATTGTACTTTGAAAAAACCCAGGTGAAAGAAACTGCTTGGGGGCTTTAAAAAATGCCGACACGTGGTCCCTCCTCCACCGCCAGAAATTCTGAGTTAATTTCCAAGATGAAGACTGGGATTCAGGTCCCTCAAAGGCCCCCGTGTGGGCCTCTGCTGAGCCTGGGTGGAGATGCGCCCTTGTAGGTAGACATTGTGGGGTGGCTTAGCAGGGAAGGTAGTCCGCTGGGGACCCTAGGAAGTGTTTGCTAAGTCTGCAGTGGGGACCAGAGGTCCCATGCTGGTTTGCACTCCCGGGGACACAGGACCCATCTTGGGGACTCGACTTCCTCAACCTGTCATGTGCGAAGTCAGCGTTCTTAGTGCTGAGGCTCACGTCAGCTCTGAAGCCCATGTCAAGAGCAAAACCAGGTCCCCCGAATGGGGCCATATTGTACATGTACAAACACGCGGGCACCCACACACACCCAGAAACGTGCAGATCTGTTCACACACAACGTTTAGATTGAATGAGTGAGCACCTTCACCTTTCGCCTCCCAAGTAGGGAGGGAAACTGAGTGAGGAACCAGAGATGAGGCGTCAGCACCCAATGCTTGCAGGGGACACAGATCATACGCCACTAAGGCAAGTGGAGTCCACACACATACACGCCACATAGACTTACACGCACACATGCATTACAGCCCGTCACACACTCACACAACATTCCTACACACACGCACACACACACATGTATTACAACCAATCACACACACACACACATACCACACCCAGCACGTACCCAGCACCCATATACGCATCACACACACACATCACACACTCATATACCACATGTGCATACTACACACACACACACACACACAACATACACACCTATCACACATACACATACCACACACACACACATACGCCATGCACACACAGTGTAGGAAACTCTTCTTTGTTCAACCCACTTCTCTTTTGCAGCTCTTTGGCCTCCACTGCTCCAGGAGAAACAGGCCATCGCTGAGAAACGGGATTTGGGGTCTCCAAGGGTCTAGGCCCTGCTGGATTGGGGGCTACTTAGTGAGTTTGCAAAGGTGATTTTGACTGCACGTGATACACACAGGCTCTAGACTTTCTCTACCCCTTGCCCATGCTGACCGAATGGTTCTGCATGGTTCCACGGCCTGCCTCGTTCTTCCTGTCACCCCACTTCTGCAGATAAATGCTCCACAGCAAATTTCCAGGGGACAAATCCACCCCTCTGGATTTGTGTTTTAAAAAAAAGATCCTTGGGGCACCTGGGTGGCTCAGTCGGTCGAGCGTCCGACTTCAGCTCAGGTTATGACCTCGCAGTTGACGAGTTCAAGCCCCACATCGGGCTCTGTGCTGACGGCTCGGAGCCCGGAGCCTGCTTCGGATTCTGTGTCTCCCTCTCTCTCGGCCCCTCCCCTGCTCATGCTCTGTCTTTCTCTGTCTCAAAAATAAAGATAAGCATTAAAAAAATTTTTTTTTAAAAAGATCCTTGATTTTATTTTCTTTATAACCCTTAAACGATTTGCATAACCACTACTGCCCTCTCCTTGACGCCCTCTCTCACCTTCTGGGGCCTCGTCTCAGAGAGGCCCCAGCTTCAGACCCCAGCTAGTGGTGTGTGTTCCTGGCCAGGCAAACCCAGGTATGGAATCATCTGGGATGAGTGTCTCCTGGACAACCCCAGGCAGCCCAAGGGTCCCACTGCCCACTGGAAACATTCCAGTGGGTACACAGACATGCCTTCCCCCAACGGTGCATCTCAGAGTGCTTGGGAGACAATCTCCCGACACTGGCCTAAACAAGACGGAGAGAAACCTGTCAGCACCTTTAGTAGGCTGAGCAGAGGGCAAGCCCTTCCCTTGCGTTTGGTGACCGCAGACACCGAATCTACCTGTGCCGAGAGCCGCTTCACAGTCAGGGTCTCCACGCGTTTTGACCCGAGTGTGCTGGGCTAAGTCTCATACAGCCCCAGGCTTCTGCCCAGGACCAAGTCAGGGAGCCAGTCAGCCCTCTCCCACCCAGCGTTCCCCATATGACCCGGTGGCACAGGCGACCCCAGACCCTGCCTGCAGCTTTGTCTAGTTGAATGATTGGCCACTCAGGCCATCAATTGGCCCGAATCTACTGGGAGGATCACTCAGACTGCCCCAAGCTTTCAAGGGGCTCATGAGTCCTCCAGTTACCTCCATGACATTTGGGACGCTGTCTTTTCGTCTGCCTGATGTTGGAGGCAGACACTCAGATGCCGTCAGAGCCAGGCGGATCACAGAAGTGTGCGAAACAGCAGGGTTTGGGGGAAGGGGTGGGTGGCTCTCCTAGAGAGCAGTCGCCCCCGACTACAGGCAGCAGGGGCCATGAGGACCGCTGACATTCTAAGAAAAGGCCCTCCGTCCAGATTTCTACATGCAATATCCTGGTTCTTAAATATTGGCACCTGCTCTAAAACTTTTTCAAACACCTGGAGGACCACTGTACCTTAGTCTGCAGACTGGGTCTGGACTGGGCGGACAGTTTGAAACCTGCATCTGGGGAAAGGATGCCCAGTACTGAGCTATTCACCCAGGGAAGAAAGCAGGTCAGAACACTGGGGGCCCGCCGTGGGGGAAGCCTCTCCCAATATTTTAAAGGAACAAGGTACGGGCACAGACAATACACTTGTAGAAAAGAGAGCTCTGCTAGAAGAGGCATGCTGAAATAAAAAGTCATCGGTTCGTCATTCCAATAGACTAACGAATTACTGGAAATATCTTACATTAAAGCAGTTCCCTCCCAACACGTGGTACAAGATGTATATTCAACTTTGGAATACCACTGATAACTTCTCCCAGGCTTTGTACCATAAATTTTTAGAAATATATGACCAAGTGGTTTAATTAGTTCATTGTACCTATTTTTACACGAGCACGTCTTTCATCGTTCTGAGCCTCCACTTTGCACTTCATGGGCCAAAGGAACCCTCACTGTTCGGGGGAGTTATTTTGGCATTATTCGATGGAGCCAGTACCCCAACAGCACCTCTCCAAAACTAACAGGTGGATTCACATTATTCTCTCTGGAAATCCCTTTACCGAGCTTTTAAGAAGTGGCTCATGCTTCTAACGTATGTGTGTGTGTGTGTGTGTGTGTGTGTGTGTGCGCGTGTGTGCTAAGTCTCCAAAAGTGTTTTAACTTTTAAGGTGAGTAACTGGATATTTCCCCGTATTTGCATCCTCCATTTGATATTTATTTAGTCTTTCTACATGTCTTTACTTAGTTAATACCAGGAGAGATAGATATGGTGGTGCCTTTGCAGCCAAGCTTCAGTACATTAATATAAATTGTACACTAATTCCCCCAAAGCATATATATGTTGTAAACCTGAAGACTTTTCACACAGCTGCTTATTGCTAAACAGTGCCTTGTCCAGAAGGGGACAATCTGTGTCTCTAATTGCTGTCACTGAAGCCGAGATTCATTATGTGACTTTCCCATTAAAATGTGAGCATTAATTTGTATAATGAAATATCACCCACTGCAGTGTTCATTAGCCATGCCCTACTGTATACGGCACATTGTTAGCTACCTAGAAACTGTAGTTAATTTCACTAATGGATATTTCCCTACTTAGTGTTTGGTAGGAAATTTATACTGTAACATTACCTCTTAAACTTTTAAGGAAATTTAAATTCAATCAATTATTTTCAACAAAAGTTTGGGATGTCATTAAGGCAGGAACAGCAAGGTTGGCGGACTGCGGAGGGATAAAATGGGCTTTTAGTTCATCTTAGAAATACAAAAATGATAGAATTTTAATTCAAAACAAAAAGTAAAAAAAAAAAAAAAAGAAGAAGCAAAAGAAGAGAATCATGTTTTGGCAAGCCGATCTTTTTTTTTTTTTTTTTCCTTTCCATCATTATTCAGGTGGCTGTCCCCCACTAAGGACAACAACACATGCTCTCCTTTTAGAAAAACAAAATGGGAAAAGCACTCATGTTAACCAATCTATATTTGAAAATCTATTCAATGTGCTTTTATAAACGTTAAAACAGCCTGGTCACCTTACCTAGGCGAGGAAACAGAAGCATCGAAGGTAAGGTATGTGTACATCAGGCATTAGGCACCTGGGTTAGGCCCACTAAACTCTCGTTTCTACCCAGATCTATATACCAGTTGGTGCTTCGGAAGCTCTTTGAAGATGAAAGGCAGTTTCCAAAACGGCATGAGTAATTTATCATCTCCTGATTCAGCGAGTAATCCCACCCCACCTTCCATACCTCCATGTGCCACAGTGGCTGCTTCCCTGCCTCACCACCTCCCTAACCTCTTCGTGCTGCTGGGGAAACTGAGGCACGCGGGGGTCAAGGAGGCGTGGCCTCAGGCCATTGTGAGTTGGGGGTAAAGGAGGAGCCAGGGTGTAAGGTACTTCCCTTTGAAATCGCCGGGAGGCTGCGTCAACACACCTTGTGGGTACAAGTCACTTCCTTTCCTCCCGCTGGTTATGGTGTGGACACACACTGTCAAAGAAATGTTGCATTAATTCCCTAAAACAAGCCAAAAAAATCCACCCAGAAAAGTAAAAATACCAACACAGTGCAGCGGTTAAGAGACAGATCTGGGTTTCACCCTGTAAGCGATGTTGAGCACCCCAGAGTGGGTAACTTCACGGCTCTGAGGTTCTGTTTCCTCCTCCCTGCCGAGGGGCAGGGTGCAACCTGGTCACTGAGGCGCTGGGACAGAGAAGGAGTGAATTCAGGTGCAGGGATCAGCACGGTGCCCGCACCTGCGAGTGTCCACAAAGTGGTGGCTACTGTTCCTATTATTGTTGTTATTACATGATTCCTACTGGCTGCATTTTTCTGCCTCCAGCCAGTAGCCCCCATGCAGTGTGGACTTAGCCTCAAGTCAAGAGGTGAGAGAGTCCCTGACCCCGGCCCCCAGCTGGGCACACATCACTTTGACGATGGTACTGCACGACAGAAGCAACTTCCACACTTCTCTGTGGTCCTATCGGGCCAGGGGCACCTTGCCTGGGGATGAGCATGCGAGCAGGAGCCAAGAAGAGCACCCCAGACACCCCACTCAGCCAGCGTCCAGCTGCTGCGTCACGGAGGCACTCACCTGGCAGGGGTGAGCCGAGCTGGGCGTGCCCCACACGCCCACCCTGACCACAGCCCAGAGCCCTGGAAAGCCACCTCCAGCTTCCCTGTACAAATCCATTTTCATAAAGAGGTTCTCAACTCAGGGCCGGACCAGTGCACGCAGCACATCAAAACCAGATTAATAAACCACTCGCATAATTTGAGAGGGGAAAAAACTAATGAGATTTATTTTTAATTAGTCCCTGAACTTTCGTACCTCCAAGTTTTCATGAGTGAGGTTGCTTATTACATTTCTCTACGATGGTCATTCCTGAGACAACAGGAGCCTCCTGGGAAACCCAACACACAGGTAAGCCACCTGAGACGACTCAGCCTGGGGTCCTGCAGCCACTACGTGGGGTGTCACACCCATCTGGGGCTTGTGTGGAGAATACACACCCCTCCAGCCTTCCGGAAACTGATCAGCACGTGCCTACCTCCTGTACACAAAACAGACCCAAGGAGCCATGGAGGGTATCCCCAAGATGGGGCTAGAGGAGGGGTAAGTGAGGAAAAGAAGGAAGCGCATTTTCAGGCAGCCCATAATGAAATGATTGGCCAGCCTCGGCCGGGGGCGACCTAGGGGAATATCCCTGCCTCCCGTTGCGCGTTAGGACTAAATGTGTGCTGCTGCAGCCCCGTGATGGTTGATTTTCTACGTCAGTTGGGCCACGTGGTACCCAGACATTTGCTCAAATATTATTCTGGGTGTGTTTGGGAAGGTGTTTCTAAATGCGATGAGCATTTGAATGGGTAGACTGAGGAAAGCAGATTGCCCTCCCCAGCATGGGTGGGCTTCATCCAGTACACTGGAAGCCTGAACAGAACAAAAGGCTGAGTAGGGGAGAACTCACTGTCTCTGCCTGTTTTCCAGCGGGGACATCCGCCTTCACCTGCCTTTGGGCTTGGGCTTGGGCTGGGACTTAATGCCACTGACTCCCCGGGGTCTGCCGTCTTGCCAAATGCACGTCTCGGGACATCTCAGCATCCATAATTGAGTGAGCCAATTCTTTATTATAAATCTATTTATTTATTTAAAGCATATAGATATACATATATGCTTTATCATCTACAATATATATTGCGCATACTTAGAATATGAATATATGAATACATATATGAATATATATGTGTGTATATATATATATATATATATATATACCATTTCTCTGGAGAACCCTGATGCAGTCTCCTTTCTGAGCCTGCACTGACTGGGTCTGAATTCAAATCATCGCCATATGCTCTAGAAGACAAACCATACACATTCAGTGATTGGGTCCTAATCCGCTCATGGTAATGTCTGAAACAGGAAAGCAGTTCGGCCTCCCTGGGTGTCTGTCATCAGTTTCTGCCCGGCAAGAGCCAGAGTGGAGTGGCCTGTAGGATTTGAGGGCCTCTCGGGGCCCCTGGGGCCCTCCACACGCCTCCCTCGGTCCCGCATGGGTCTGGCTGCAGCTCAGGGGGTAGCAGGGAACGTTCTGGCTCCTGTAGGCTCTCCCCAGCCCCCCAGGTGCTGAGCACAACCTGGGTTCTGCATCTACTCAGCACCTCCCTAATAAACAGGTGTTGGTGGAAGGAGAGCAGTAATTGAGTTAATGTAGTGGAGTTAAAAAAGGAAAGTGGTTTTTATCAGTGGATGCTCTATGATCGAGACGGCTCATAAAGATGGAGTGGGATAGAAAAACACAGAGAATGTACCGCCTCATACGCTGACCAATTAAAATATATTTATTACACACTGGATTTTTAACTGTGCTCATATGGGTCCATTACAGAAAAACTTCAAAACATGGTATTTTGGAAAACGTGGATTCTGTCTCATAGACTGCTGTCCTCTGGCCATGTCACTTGGAAATACAAGAACACAGACAGAAAGGGGGCAAGGCAGGACAGGACATCCCCACAACTGGAGCCCCGTATTCACTCGTTTATTAACAAATAACTTGATTTGGATTTTTAATTACTCATGTAATCTACACTTTAACATTGTCAAAATGGATGTTTATTTTGGTGATTTGGAACATGCAACACTTTCTGTTCTATTCAAATGCACGAGTCTAAGCATTTTCCAAGTTCTTTGTTCTTTGATAAAAAGGAAATTGATCTTTATCTGGTAACCATTCTGACTTTTAAACACTGCAAATGCTGTTTCCGAGGGGGGCTGGCAGTGTGATGTTTCCATGGCTTCTTTCATTTTCTCCCTTATTCTGGGAAGTTTCCGGAATGCCTCTGTCCACGGCCTTGTCTTGCTTCTCTCAGTGTCTCCAAAGACTACTGGTCACAAACCTCAGAAGTTTGTGAAGCACAAGAAGCAGAAATTTCGGGGGGAAAATAACCCTTCTCAAGCTTTAAAACCTCAAAAAGCGGAATCCATTTGCTTCCATCCACGTGGTCCTAATTCACCCAAAATATTCTGGGGAGTTTCTCCCACGACCACGTTTGGGCCAGCTGATGGGAGCTGGGCCCACAGGGTCAGCAGGGCTCCTGGCGGGGAGACACTGCCCCTTTCTTTCCTAACCCACACTCCCTGGCAGGGAAAACCTCACCTGTGGTGAGCCACCAACCGCCTGGTAAGCTTGGCCCAGAGGCCTGTGTCTTCATCTAATGAACGGGTGCTATCACAGGACACGCCTGGCCAGGTCCCCGTACTCCTGCGGACAGCCCAACGGTGGATGCCCTGGTGGACTGCCTCCCACATCCTGGCAGTCTGTGCCCCCCTCCAACTACCACCACAGCCCAAGGGGACCCGGCTCCAGCCTGGGGAAGAAAGTGGACATCGGCATGTTCTGAGAAAGCCAGATATCTGAGCTACTTCGTCCTGAGCCTGACCACTGGGAAGACCTCACTGAGAAGGGGACATTGGTGTCAAACTCTGAAAATAAAGGAGCAAAACAATGCACCTATCTGGCAGAGAAGTGCAAAGACCCTGAGGCAGGAACTCAGGAACCTTTCCCTGAGCTCCTGGGAGGGGTCTTCTATCTGAAACCAGGACTTCTATGTGCAACTCACAGCCTAGCTGGCACACTGTGGCTTCCAATGGGTTCTCGTGTGCAGGTTGCCTTTCTACAAGGGCCACAGGTTCCCTGGGGAAGGGTCCATGTTCCTCGCGGCACTTGTCCCCTCCATGCCACCTGGCACAGTCCAGAGATTACAGGAAGAAGTTCACTCACTTATTCTCAAATTTGTTCTGACATTCAAGCTTTCAAATGAATCCACTGTGCCCCTACTACATGTAAAGGGCTCTAAGAGACCCTGGGGCTCTCGAAATTGTAGCAATTAAAAATATGGACAATATCGCCACCCTCACATTCCACTTGGAGGGAGATGCACAATGCATAAGGAAACGAACAACTGAACTGAACAGGATCGTTTCAGAAAGTGCTAAGTTTAGGCAGGGAAGTAAGACATGGCCTCTCTGAAGAGCTCACATTGAAGTTCTGGGTAAGCCTCCAGTACCTACCGGGAGGAAGACCTTTCCAGGTGGAGGGAACAGTGGGTTCAAAGGCCCTGCGGCAGGGACTGGACCTCTGCACTGGAGGAACCGGAAGAGGCCCGTGCGGTAGGAGAGAGAGGAGGAGGAGGGTCAAGAAGACTAGGATCCCACAGGGCCTGGGGGAGTGCTTAGTTTTAGAAGCTCCCTCTTTGCCCTGGGATGACTCTAGGAGAGAAGTGCTCCGGGACAGTGGTGGTGCTCAGCTGTGCCCCAGACCATGAATAAAGATGGCGGCCCCTGTCACCTGTTCTCAGGGCTCCTCTCGGTGTCAGGGAGATTTGCGGGCACCAGGTGAGGTTCCAGGTGAGGGGCTCCTTCTCTTTAACCACACGCTGCACACAAGGCCCGTGTGCACTAAATATCCTGCACAACCCTGAGCTTTATTGATTCCTTGGGAAATAGACCACAATTATTTTTGAAAATAGATGGCATATTTGTCTATCCTCTGAAGCAGCTCATACTCCAATAGATAAAGTGTCAGGAGAAAAATCAAAGAAAATGGAGGTGTCCATATCTCAGATAGATTTTTTTTTTTTTTTGTATTGGCAATGTGCAAACAACCAACAGAAAGCTAAGGAAAAAAAAAAAAACATAGATGACCAAGGGACAAGGCAGACAGACAAAAAAAAAAAAAAAAATCCGCATTTGTTCAAGGGGCTAGGATGGCAGGGAAATAGGAGAAATGACCAGAGCGGTCCAGCAGCCACTTCCAGTGTTTGCTGAAGTGTTTCCTCACTTCCTGTCTTGAGCAGACCCCGCGGAGAGCAGCGATGCTCCAGCCTGTATAACGTGAGGGGCTGACACCATCAGTCGGGTCCCAGCTGTGGGCACGTAACCCCAGCTGGGCCAAAAGCCCGTCCACCTGAACGTGGTCAGGGAGCTGCCACACTCAGCTCCCTTCGCACTCAGAGCTGAGCTGGGCTCCGGTCATTTGCACCCCAAGGGCCCCTGGTCCATGAAAGGGGCACGAGAGGCCCCGCTTCATTAGAGACAGCGGCGAGACGTCCCGGGGCCTCCCACAAAGCATCATCCCCCCAGACCTGGGCCACAGGAGACTGGCGTCTACAGGCCCGCGCGTCATCTGGGAGGCTGGCTGTGGAGGACCGAGCCGGGACGCCAGGGTCCCCCGGGGACCCGCGGAGAGCGCGGCGGGGGCCGGTGATGACACAGTGGTGGCCCCCAGCTCGATGCCACGCACCCGGCCGCACCCACGCGTCTCACCTGTGTGTATCCGCAGGTGGACCTTTAGGTGATGGGATGTCCGGAAGGTTTTCCCACAGTACGGGCAGTCCTTCATGGCCGAGCCCAGGCTCCTGTCGCGAAGCAGTGCGGGCTGCTGGACGCCGGCGGCCCTCCCAGCCTCCTCGCCGAGGTCTGCAGCGGAGGAGAAACGTTCTCACATCACTTCCGCACGTCAGAAGCTGTTCGCACCCAAACTGCTAACACCGCACAAAGTGAAACATGTCAATACTACACCTGTCTATTTCATTCTTTCAATCTGACAGAATGCTGACAATTCATGTATTTTCTTGTTATTCTCTTAAATTATTTCATCTTTCCTATCATCATTTTAAGCAGCATATGGTACCTTTATATTGAACTGAATTAAACAAGAAAAGAAACAGCTGTGTCAGCAGCTGGTTTGATTTCTTCTTTCGCTTCGCTCCTATTAAATATTTTTTTTTTTCAAAAGTTTAAAAATGGTGGTGTTTGTTGAATCTGATTAATTTGTAATACGGACTAGCCGGAGAGCTCACTATGGGACCGACAACACATTTGCATTATATCTAGCAACAGATGAGGGGGGAAAAGAAAATATGTCTTGGCCAAGTCCCTAAGACATGCAGACATACAGCTATTTTGGGACAGGAAAGAAAATTATCCAAAACTGATCATTTCTTCCTCGCCGAGTCTTGTATCCACCGCTGGCTGCTGTAATCTTATGAAAGGGAGAAGAAAAAGTATGAAAATGCAGTTCCACAATTAGCCCATGATAAACATATAGTGACATATTCAAAGTCATGTGCAGAAACTCAGCTGCTAGACTCCCATAAACTTCGAGCAGAGCAGTTAAATCTTTGTGCAGTGACTTGAGAACTTCCTCTGTAAAGTATCAATACAAATTTTCCTTCCCGCTGTTATTTGTTATGTAACCCAAACCATTAGAAAATGGAATAAAATTTACATACGGCTGCCTTCTGCACAGAAATGATGGGACATAATAGTAAATAAAACCGTGAAAATATCTAGTGGTTGGAGGATATGTTATCGCAACACCCGAGGCCCCACATCACACTGCCAAAGAGGCGACATCAGGGGAGCAGGGCAGGAGCTGGGAATCTGCATCTCCGGGGGGCCGGGGGGGTGGGGTGGGTGGGCACCGGAGCCCTCTCCTCTGGCCTTCCTGCAGAGCTGGAGGCTGACCCCCTGGCAGAGAACGCAAGCTCCTGAGGCTGGCGGGGTCCTCACTGCAGCTCTCAGCTCACCCTCTAGGCACCATGGTAGATCCACTAGGGGAACAAGGGGACCTTCTGAGATAATAAGCAGACCTGTGACTTCTGCAGAGAACAGAATAAACAAGATTTGTACCTTCCAAGCAATGGAAAATGCAAATTGCTTTTATTCTGCAACATCCGTTCCTGGTGTTTCCTGCTAACAGCCAAAAGGGACAGACTTATAGGCCATGCACAAGATGAAGGCAATCACATTTCATTCTCATTTGGATGTCTGCTCCAAGCAACCGTGGAAACCCTGGGCCTCAAGCATCCTCTCTGCGTTTGGACTAATGCACAACGATATCGTCACCCTGGCAAAGTTCTTTGAAGGCTCACTTTTGATCCCACTTTCTCTCCAGCTCCTCCAACCCTCCTTGAAAGGGCCATTGAAAGGGTTTATCTACCCAGCATCTTTTTTTTTTTTTTCCCATAATTTTGCATGGTGGGAGGACCACCATGTTCAGCCGCATCTAGAGCTCAACCCACCTGGCACTAGCTTTCTGATCATCCACATGAATGTGGAAAGGTTGCTATTGAATAAGGCAAACGCACAGGAGAGTGTTATCACTTCAAGGCAAACAAATGCCCCAGTGCATCACAGCGGGGTGCTTCACACCCCACAGGTTCAACCCATCAGGGGCCACGGCCAATCAGGGGCCACGGCCACCAGTTCGCTGACGGCCCAGGAGAACAACGGCCAGATGCCAATTTCAAGTCAACCAACCACATCCTAGGTTTAAGTACCTGGAATGCCATCTCCTACCCATTCTCCTTCCCGCACGCACCCCCCCCCCCATCCCAAACGCGTTGCATTTGTCCCCCCAGCGTGACTCGGCTTTCCTTTTGTGGCATCCTGAGGTCACCTTAAAATCGCCAAGAGCCTGATTCAGATTCTGCCAAGTGCTCTGTGCAACAGAGTTAACTAACATACCCTGTTTAAGTTAGGAGGCTGATAGCTGTCAGTTTGCATCATAAACAGAACTAAGTGCCCCGGATGTTGGCTTCAGGACAGAGGTAGTGGGCAGGTGTGGACTTGTGACGTTAAATTCCTGCAAAGCCCCATGTTCCGAGATCTGCTCATGAACACCTTCCCCAGAATCTTCCTCCAGCCTTTGTGAGCGGTGGAAGGTGGAGCTGTCCAATGGAACAGGAGGGAGAGAGCGTGGAGGACATATTTCTACTGTAGCTTTTGGTGAGTCCTTGCTCAGGGCACAGCGTTGATAAATACGTGCGCCACTCTGGAAGGTTCTACAGAAGCTGAGGGTGAGCGGTGCCTCACTATATGTCACCGTAAGTGATGGCCTGTATCTGTTTGCCTTTTATCTTTCTATCTTGGATATGTGTGGCCCAATAAAAAGAATAAATTTGTAAGATAAACAGCTTTCTTTGCAGATTTAAGAGTCTAATTTTCACTCTACACAGAAATGATTTTTTTTTTTTTTTTTTTGGAGGGCCAGAAGGCCTATGGCATTTACTCTTAGACTAATCCAAATAGAAAAACAAACTCTGAGCTACGATGAAGGGGCATTGTGGGTGGTCCCAGAAAGTGTCCGGAGAGGCTGAAAGCCACGGACAGCCACAGCTGAGGAAGGAGGGCCACGTCGCACCCTCACAGGGCCTGTGTGTGAGTGGGCGCCTGAACCCGGATGGGTACCAGCGAGCACGGTAGGCCAAATTCGGCCCGGCCACCCCAAGAGCCCAAGAGGCTCACTCAGCGAAAAGCCAGGGCTGCCCTCTGACTCCTTCTCTACACAGAGTATAAAAGCACCGTCAGCTGTCCTTCTAGAAGACTCCCAGGCTGGAGTCCCGAGGCTTTGCCTGCGGCCCCACGGAGCTGCGTAGTGAAGCAGTCCCCCGGCCTGCTTACAGACAGACCGGCCTTCCCGGCCTCTCCAGGAAACAGGGAAAAAAAGAAGCATGGTAGGAGTTACATCTGTCATCCTTCCTTAGACCGCTGGCGGACAGTTTCAGCTTTTGAAAAAATGTCCTTTTCCTGCAACCTGCCGTATGTCTTTCCTTCTGATCAGACCCTTGTTCCAACTGTTTTGGGTAAACGGAAGGTGAATGTGAGCACGGAGGTCAGCCCCAGACCTGTCATCTACGCCCCCTTGCTCATCCGAGAAAGAATGGCCAGTCCGTCCTGCCAGCCCCCAAAGGCTGGGTGTCCCTGGGGGCAGGGCATCTGGCTGCAGGCTGGGAGCCCATCTCCTTACCTCACACACTTTCAGCCTGGGTGGGTTCTGGGCCTCAAGTGATGCGGAAAATGGCTGAGAAATAACTCATGGGACCCCTGCTTCTGTTCTTGACCCCTCTAAATAAGAAGTGGATGTCTTGCACGGATGCAACAAATGATATTCCAGAGGGACGTAGACTGTACGTGCACCCCTTCCAGAGTTTTAACCTAGAACAAGTGAATTGAAATAGGTCTCAGAAACCCTGCAAGCTTTCTCCTGCTCCTGCAAGCTGACATCGGTATTAAGTCATCTAATAAAATGATCTACTAGAACTAATAACTGGATTTACCAATTTTGATTATAAAGTGTACTTTATTTGGGACAAAATGGGTATGTTTTTGTTTATAATGCAATTGATTTATGTCTTGTGGGGACATTTTTGTTATTGTTGTTGTTTCTTTTTTTTTTTTAACATTTATTTTTGAGAGGCAGAGTATGAACAGGTGAGGGGCAGAGAGAGAGGAGGAGACACAGAATTCGAAGCAGGCTGCAGGCTCTGAGCTGTCAGCACAGAGCCCAACGTGGGGCCCGAACTCACGATCCACGAGATCATGACCTGAGCCGAAGTTGGATGCTCAACCGACTGAGCCACCCAGGCGCCCCTATTGTTTTTCCTTGATATTAAAGAATAGAAGGGAAAAAACAAAAAAAAAAAAAAAAAAAAAGGAAGAGATGGGCCCAATCACTCCAAGCTATGTTTCAAGTGTATATTATTTGGGGGTGAGGGGACACAAGACAGGACCTTCCTAATTTTGTCATCTCAAGGTCAGAAGCCATGCCTCCCCCAGTTCCGTTTGCCTGTTCCAATCCTCCAAGTGGACGGCAAGGTTGGCCTAGGTCAAGGTGACATTACAGTGCATTGCCTTCCCCAGCATTCACAGAGGGAGGGTGGGAAGGAAGGAGGACCCAGGGCGATTAAAAATGGCCATGGTCCTGTTAGAATCTTCCTCCTCAGCTGAACCACAGACTGGCAGTCCTAGATAGACAAAGCATCAAATACTTAGAAAGACAAACAACTTTTCAAAAGTTAAAGCCTAAGCACACATAAAATACTATCAGCAGCTGTCTGGATCCATCCCTGAAGTGGGTTAAATTGCTCTCCACGAATATGATTTGAATTTACGGGGGCCTCACTACACATTTAACCTTACCGGTATGTATGTCCGGAATGTAAAAACGTAACGACATAAATTTGTATCTTAAGGGTAGGATCCCCCCAGGTTATCTTTAAACACTGAGCTTCCTTGGTACACATTTGAAATAGGCTTGTTTGTCAAGAAGGCTGACTTGGGAGTCAGGAGAGGGAATCTTTTCCTTCAGCATTCCTGATGCCTGGCCGTCCTTAGGTACATCCCTTCGCCCACCCCCCGCCCTGGTTCCATCTGACCCCGAGGACTGCTCCCGCACCCTGTAACCCCGCAGTGCCAGAAGATTCCCAAGCCCACCACAGGCCGCCTTCACCCACTTGGCCTTCCATTCACCCAGTCTAGCCTCATCCTATGCCACATAGGGAACCAGAGATGGGTCTTAGAGAGATGGGAGGGAAAACACCATAAAAAAGGATAGTAAGTGCTCCTAAATACTCCACGTGCCCCTACTTTTCCCAACTTCCTTGGCACTGAGATCCAGTGACAAGTCCCGGCCC